ATCCACATGAAAAATTAAGGTATGAGTAATTTGCAAGTGAAGTATAACTAGATATGGTGATGAATACGATATTGTTTCTGTTGAGATAGTTTTGCTCGATATCTATGTTAATTATATTACTATTGAATTAGTCATAATTTTGTAGTGGGTAATAATAGTTTTTTGAACTAATTTATTTTCCTTAACAATCTCGCAGGGAGGTCGAATCCAAGCATCTATAGAGAAAGTATTCCAACATAAGTTTAAGGACGTGCTTCATGAAGGTTAACTTTATGTTTTGGGTAACTTTGGAGTAGAACAAAACATAGAAGATTACTGTTATACTACCCACACTTTCAAGATCAACTTTCAATCTTCAACTTTTGTTTGTCTTTGTGAGCCAACTGATGTTATTCATCAATTTGAATTTACTTTTATCTCATTTAGTGATGTGTTATCTTCTACAATTGGTATGTTATTCCTTCTTAACTACTTATAATAATGTGATAAATAGTACTTTTAATATTCATATACTTTTGTAGGGCCATTGATAATTATTTTAATACCATTTAGATGTCATGTGAAGAGCTAATGGGATTGAAGATTCGGAGAAAACTTGCAGGGATGTATGCATTGTAGGAAACAATTTACAATTGCAGTAAGTTTTGCAATGACTATAAATAAAAGTCAAGGTCAAACTTTGTCTAATGTTGGTTGTATTTGTCAAAGTCCGTTTTTTTGCCATGAACAATTATTTGTGATTATCTCTAGAGTTAAAAATAAAAAAGATCTTAAGATTTTAATATGCGATAGAGAAATATTGTTTCAAACACAATACACAATTGCAAGTATTGTTTACAAGGAAGTTTTGGATAAACTTTTGTAATATTTAATTGGTTGATACAAATTAATGATATGTAATTACAAAAGTCTTTTTTTAATAAATTTTCTTTCCATCAATAATTGTTATTTTCTATTCAAAATCTCGTGCATAGCAAGGGTGAGATACTAGTTTATTTACTAAATAAAAAAGAGGGTGTTACACATACTTATTTAGATGATGTGATAGTCTATTTATAAAGAGGCTCAATAGCCTATTAAATGTTTCAATATGAAGTAATCCATTAACAGTGATAATAAGTCAAATCAGACTTTTGAACAAGTTAGACTAAACTTTTAAAAAAAAAATTATGATAGATAATAACACAAGCTCAAGCTTCAAAATTAATAAATAGACTAGGCCTACTTATTTAAAGTCTAACTTATCTTAGCCTATTTCCATCTCTACTCACAATCTCAGGGACTAATTTAGAGTTTACTCAATAGAAATTTACGGTGAATGTGATTAAATGTGATATCATACTTGAGAATCATTTATAACATTGTTCACTAATTGAGTTTTGTAACTACAGATGCCTCACAAGAATCATTTTTCTATTGTTAAGCAAAGCGCTTAACTAAGAGAAAAAAGAAAAAAAAAATAGTAAAGAAATTTGAGCTTGCTAAGAAAAAGAGCATAAAAATGGAGAGTATCAAAAAGAAGTTAAAGGAATTAATGAAGAAATAGAAGGGAAAGAAAGAGAAGTTGATCAAAATAAGGAAGTTGAAGCCTCAAATGAAAACACAAAAGACATGAATGATCAAGCTTCTTAGATTAAAATTCTTATTTTTTTTATTGCATTTATCATACTTTGATTTTATGTTGTAAATATTAAAATACTAAATATATGGACGAAACTTATCTATCTACTTGAACTACTTTGGAAATGCATAAAGAGAGTACATATTCCATATACACATTTATTTTTCTATAAATATATGGGATTGATGATTATCTTTTTTTTATTATGTTATAATTTAATTACATTGAGGATAATGTTATATTTAAGTTTAGGGATACGAATTTTTAGATAAAATCTTTATTTTCTTTTTCAACTGTAGAACTTAATTATAAGAAAATGCAGAAAAATTTTAAAATTTTTGAAGCTAAATTTTTCTATACTAACTTACTTTGAGCCTAATTTTTATTAATTTAATTTTCAGAGCCTAACGTTACAAGTCACAAGAGAAATTTGATGCAGAGTAGATCATATAGAGTAGTATCATATCACAATTAGATTGCTTAACTGCAGCAATAGGAAGTGATGCAGACTCAAATAGTGGAACAGAGGATGACATACATTGTTCGACTGATTTTGAATTCTACTTACCTTCTGGGTTAGGAATAGAGAATGTCAAGATAACATTGAACAAGCCATTACCTTATGGTCGGGTAAGATGCTTAAAAAGTATGATATATACCTACTTGACTCATTGCCTGAGGTTTTCAAATTTCAAGCCCCAGCTATGCACGAAGAGAATTGAAGAATCAGTTTTTATTTACAAGTGCCTTGAAGCCTTCTTAAAAGAGGGAACCTCTTGGGCCAGAGACATGTGGTTAGTTGATATATGATATTCCAAATCTGTTATTTTATCTTTGAATATTTTTTTTTTGTTTCAAGAACATTATATCTTTAATACAATTTGTCATCATGTTTTATATATGATAGTTGAGATAAGTGTCCTTATGTCTGAAAAAGTCAGACATATAATACAGGTTTTCTGATGTTTGATATTGCAATTTGGTGTTCACAAGGTACTGCCCTACCTGCAAAAAACCTCAGCAAGCAACTAAAAACTAGATCTTTGGAGATTACCTGAAATCCTTGTTGTTCATTTGAAGAGGTTCTCATACTCCCAATTCAACAAGAACTAGCTGGAAACATTCGTTGATTTCCCAATCAATGATCTGAACTTAACAACCTTTGTAGCCCACAGCAATAGTCAGTCTTGCAACCGCTATATGTTGTATGCAATTAGTTGTCATTATGGAGGGTTAGGACGAGGTCATTATACAGCATTTGTCCGTGTAACGGTGTAAGTACCTCACAATTTGTAATACTCTTGCTCTGTCAAAACTTTATAACTAATTCTTCTTCTTTTTTTATTTGTTGGTAATTTTTTACCATAGAAAAACTAAGCTTAATTGGTTTGAGAAAATATTATGTTTTTTATGTACTGTTTTTACCATTTCTAATACAAATGTTTAAAACTAGGAAACAAAGTGAAAATAGAGTTGCATTTTTGTAATTGTTATTAAAAAAGGAACTCTAACAAGTAGTTCTCAATCCGGTGAGCTTATTTCTTTTGGATTGAGAAGCACAGGCTCTAAACCAAACTAAGTATTCCATTAGCCTTACAGATAAACCCAACTTGGTAAACTTCTCAATAAGTACTTATAGGAATAAAATATTAAGTAGTAAAATGAATCAAACTCTTGTTATAATTTGAAATTAACTTTGTTTTTCTATTTTTTAAATAACTCTATTATTTAACTACTCTAAATTTTGAGGAGATAAGTTGTGTTTAGCTTTTGAGAGAAGTTTTAGTAAGTTTATTGAGCCATATTTAGATATTAATTTATTTGGGGGACAGTGACAACCAATGTTAAGACGTGATAGAGAGCTTTGGTGGACTATCTGAGATGGGGAAATGTTTTTCTACTTCTACTTCAGTTTTTTCAGAAGATTGTCCCAGAGGATGTTAGAGCACACATGCATTTCATATAATTTTATAATAATCATGTAGTAGTTAAACTTCTTAAGTTGCTCACAGCCTCACACAGCATTATTAGTTTTTATTTGACATCTTTAATCTCTGTCTTATATATATATATATATATATATATATATATAAAGATGAGAAAATTTCTTTTTTCTTATTTTGGTTATTTGTTGTAATTGAATCTCTTGATACACTTTATTTTGGTTGGGTTTTACTGAAGAGAAAAGCAAAGATAAATAACACTGTACAGCTTTTAGACTACAGGGAAAAGAGGGTAGATCTTAAATTTTAATACCTGGTGGATATATTACTACACATGTTGGGCGACATGTACATATGCATCCTGGAAATATTTAACCAATTTTTTTTTACCAGTTGTAGCTCGGGTTCTTTTTAAAACATGATTATATATGGAAAATTACACATTTTTGCCTCTTGGATCATCTCATTCTTAGATTAGGCCAATTTTTTCCGTGGTTGTAAGTTGTACGTATGACATGACATGTTCAGTTTAATGCTATTTATTTTCTGTCTTCAGTGAAAAAAAATGTCGATAATATATATATATTTTTTATACTCATATGTGTAAAAGACAACTATTACATTAGCAATGTCTGAAATGATTGATAAATATTCAGGGCTTTATTTTTCGGCCAATAGTGTGTGGTATGTCGAGTGTTGCAAAGTTTTTTTTTCCTGCTGATCCCGATGAATATGGATGTTTGTCTTTCAATTTTGTGCTGAGCTAATTGCTGCTTCATTATTGAATTTATTGTTTTGCAACCAGTAGATTCCATAGAAACTGCCTTTTTTTATTCAAGAAACTGCAAATTATATCACTCGATGAATAAATTCAGCAAGAATTTTGTTATTTGAATCGCTAACAATTGCTATCAAATGGATTCCATGCTTATTTTTATCTTTCTCTTTTTTAATTTCTTTTTAATAATTGCATTTTTAAAATACACTATAAAATATGAAGGGATGGATGCCTTGAGGTGTCTACTCTTGGAGGTTGTTTGGGTTGTGAAAGTATTTTCTATTATCTTTAGGAAATAGTTTTGATTTTCAAATTTTTAACCTTCTGAAAACATGTTAGTTTTTACCTATTTTCGTTTTTCAGGTTGTTCATTTTCAAAATGACCCTCTCTCAATTGATTCCATTATCTATGACCACACTATCATCCAAACGGGTTTCACGCTATGATAATTGGGTATACACAATGAAGCTCATTTGTAGTTTGTTGAAGTAAGCTTGCAGAATCTCTTTTAAGTGCCCCCTTTAATTCATGTGTCTTTGATCATTGATCTTGTGACGAGGACAAGGATATTTTTGGGTGGCTGTATATGGTGGGTTGTGCCATATGAGCGAGGTTCAATGGCGGCGAAGATAGATCTACCAATGACAGCGACATGTGGGGATGTCTAGACATTCATCATTAATTTTTATTAGTAAGGCTCATAAAAGAGAGAGACAAGAGACGTATGTTGTACTGAGTGAAGAGTAATTACTTTTGTGTTCAATGGAACTTGAAGAAATATAAATTCTGCAGCAGTAAATATGCAAGTTCTAGTCCGTCAAATCGCTTCTGCGTCTAAGAATCTCAACGCCCAAGTAATCAACTGGGCCATGAACTGCCACATGAGGCTTTCCAACCTTCACACGAATAGCAGATAGCTCTTGATGATTTCTCAGAGCAGTGAATGCAATTTTTTGGGCCACCGATTCTAGAAGGTTGTGAGGTGTCCCTTCAATAGTTTCCTTAGCTATACTGCATAACCAATTATTGGTATCGTAATTAGATCATACTTACTAAGTTAGTAAATTACTAATATGAAGAGAAACATTAGAAGTGTATGCAATCAAACGCTGAAAGTTGAACAATGATGAGCTGAATTTATTGGTCACTCACCGATATATTTCTGTGTAACTAACTGTGTCTGATAAGCGATCAGATTTGCCAGCTGCGCGGAGATCCATCCAAGCATCCATATCTACCAAGAATTTCTGGCCCAGCTTCCTTTCTTCAGGCTTTGCTCCATGAAAACCATGGAATATCAATCCCCTCAGTATGAGTTTGTCCCTCAATAGCAATGCATCGGATTGCATTTTTCCTGAAATTATTTGCAAATAGAAATCCAAAGGTGCATTTGGTTTTAAAAATAAAATAAAATCTAACAATTAAATAAAAATATAACGGCCGATCAAAACTCTGAATCACAAATAGAACAACTTGGTTCATCAAACCATCTCATACATATAATAAACAGATGTACAAACAAATGGAGAACTATACATGGATAGGCAGTAAATCAAAGCAGAAGCAAAATTAAAACATAATTCAACTAGTGCCGAACAAAGTATGCTTTCGATGATAATCAAAAAGGGGAACATTGAATCTTGACTTGATTAGTACATAAACAAGCACACCGTGCACATTTGATTCCAGAATGTAATCTGTAAATTATACAACAATTTATATATATATATATATATATATATATATATAAACATAAGTGACCATCATCTGACCACACTTTCCAATAGTGACCTCATTTAGCACCTCTGATTAATTGAACTGCAAGTTCCGTTCTTAAAGTTTCAGTTCCCAAAAATGGATGCGTGTCTAAATTTTATACACCATATCCCAATCAAACAAGCAGAGAAAACCGTGACTCTCCATTACCGAGTCCAACAGAAATAATTAAAAAAAAAATCCAGAACTTTCACTGAGACATGAGCAGATCCACTTTTCAACCAACCATAATTCTAAAATCTCACATACACAAAAATATTACACGTTTTATTTGTAATAATTAAAATCAAAATGCATCCAGATAATTACACATCATTACGTAAGTAAAGAATAAAGGCATCTTTGTGGCCTTTAACTGCATCTGTTCAAAGAAAATCATCACACCTTGAAGAAGCACAACTACATTGCTCATATGGTTAAACAGTATAACTTCAAACCAGAAAAATAAGATATCGTGAGAGTCATAAAAGACAGTCAGGCACAATTTCAACAACTGACTAGGTTCAAACTACTTGAAAGAGGATTAGTTGGGATCATAGCCTAAAATCACTAGCCATGCAATCGTTACCCATTCTAACAAAAAATGAAAATACAGAAATAGGCAGAGAGAAAAACAAGAAACCTAGAAAGAACAAGAAGATAATGACCTCTGGAGCATGTTGGGAAGAAGCAATAACAAACTCTTGAAATCAACGCAGGGCTGTTGAATGCAGCATCTAAAAGAAAGAGGCTAAAATAATTTTTAATTTAACTTCTAGCAAGCATTTTATTGTTAATTTTTAGGCATATCACTTTCAAAAGCAACATTGTTGGACAGTACGAACACGGTCTCAAACTTGATTGGTAATAACTCGATTCCCTATCTTTTCTCATCAACTTTAAGCACTTTCACCTGATTGGTTATTCTATCTTTACAATCAACACGAAATACATTTGCAAAAAATACCAACACTGTTTCAAAAATTAGAAAAATAAAATAAAATAATTGTGTTTCCGTGCTTTAAGAATTAAGTCTAATTCTACTAATGCACTTAAAGAAAATAATTTAAAAATTCAACTAAAAATATCTTTAACTTCATTTTTTTCTTTTATTAAAAATAAAAACATAAAATAAGCCACATATTTAATCAATCAAATAATTAGACCATGAGATACAAAATAATTGGATTACATTTTGACTTCAAATTCTTATCATCATATACGTGACCTGAACAATACACAAACGTGTCATGTATCACACAAATAATAAAATCGAGAAATTGAATCTGTAGGCGAAAGGAGACCTATAACACAAGCATCGATGGTGGATAGAAGTTAAAAGGAACTGAGAAGAACGTGTTAAACAATATTGAACTGATAACTGAGTAAAATTCAATCAACTTTGGGCACAGGACAAAAGAAGCAGGTATTGAATATGCATATTAGATAAAGGAAGCATGGTGGAAAATGAGGGATAGAACACTCACGCGGAGAAGACAATTAGCAGCGTTGTAGGAGAGTGTTTTTTTGGAAGTCGTGCAAGTGGATTCTGTGACAGTAATTGTATAATTATATTATTTAATTACTTATATATTGTTTACACCTATCTCAACCTAGTCCCTAGGGGTAGCCCATTGTTTTGTTTGATTTAAATCAGAGAATGGAAGGAAATAATTTTTTTAACAAAGAGAAGGAAATAAATATAACAAATTGTATACTCTCTTTCTTTTTTCCTCTATTTCTCATAACCAAACACTGAATAATCCCAACGTGGTAATTAAGTTCTCTGGACTCCCTAATATCTGATATAAAGTTTGCTTAAAATCATGATTCCCTTTTCATGTGACCATTGTTGTTGGATTGTTTCTTTAATCAATATGGAAAGAATATATGTAATGTCGATGATTTTTCATTTGAAGAAAACACAAACTAAAATTTTATTGGGGTAAATTATTTATTTAAGGTTGTCATAAGCCATTTTTTTCATTATAAATCACATTTGCAAAAATATCTTGTTACATTTCTAAAAGCGCCTTACCAACTGTTTTGAGGCACAATTTTCTTGTAAAAAATTCAGATACGAATCCAGTGCAGTTAACATGGGAACTGCACGTGCAGTTTCATTTTCGCTTAAGCGAAAATACAGAAAACGACAAAATTTTTTATATAAAATTAGCTTAAAACGAATTTTTTTTGGCTTAAGCAAATTTTACAGATTAGCTTAAACGAATCATGTTTAACTTAAGCGAATTTTGAGCCTTTTTTTCTCAATCTTCTTTTTTGTTTCTCCTCATGCCTAATACTCTCTCTTCAACCTTTATATTTAACATTCTTTAACCTTCATATTCAACCTTCTTCCTTCTCTCATACCTAACTCAGTTGTTCCTCTTCCAACTCCCTCTTTCCTTCATCCCATGCCCAACTCCTCTCTTCTTTTTCTTCTCACTCCCTTTCTACCTCATACCTATATCTCTCTCTTTACTCCATCCCAAACTCTCCACCCTCCTCTCCCTTCACCACCACCCTTATACCACCTATCTTCTTATCTCTATCTATTCTCAATTCTCTCTACTTCCCATACCTAACTTTCATATCCTCAAATGCACAAAATTTGCTTAAGCTAAACATGATTCGCTTAAGCAAAAAAAAATTTGCTTAAGCCAATTTTATATAAATTTTTTTGTCGTTTTCTATATTTTCGTTTAAGCGAAAATGAAACTGCACGTGCAGTTCCCACGTTAACTGCACTGGATTTGTATCCAGAAAATTCATATCTATTAAAATATCTATCTCATAGCATGTGTTCAGATCATAGTTTGTAACCATCGAATATGCGTCTAGAGAGAAGATGTTACTCTTTCCTGTTTTAAACAAATTTTCTAGCATGTGTCTACATTAATAAATACAAAATTATTTAAAATTATAATATTTAATATTATTAATATATATTATATTTTGTAATGTATTGTTATACAATCATTGTCATACAACCAACCAACAATGGTAGACAACATTAAACAGTGAACAAACAATCAAACCATACTAAAGTACGACAATGTAGAACCTGAACTCCAAAATGTTAAAGTTCACCTTCCACCAATAAGAATTAAAGGTAAATCATGCACAACTCAAAACCACCTTTAACCACCAAAGTCACCTTGTATCAATTCAACAGAACAAATTAAAAAAAAAAAAAAGAAATATTAGAAACTAAACAACTCAAACTTTGTTTTAAACAAAGTAAATATTATTACCTTGAGATAAAAAATGATTGGACAATCGATATGAGAAAGAGAGCTATCAAACTAATATTACAAAATAATAAAATACTTTAACACGACTAAAAAAAATACAATGAAATCACTAGTCAGATAAGTACTTAATTTTCTTATTTCATTCTAAAATGACTTCTATAATTTGTTTTTGACGTCAGCGCAGAACTTCAATTCTGAAGAAGATTTGTTTAACTTTGTCATTTGAATAATTAAAAAAATTCATAAATTTTAATGGAGGATAAGAAGTGGATAAAATGAAGAAGAGTCATAGAGAAACATGTGGTCACACTCCTGCCAACTATACTAAAACCGACTCTAACTCCTTAACAAGTGAGAAGTAAACTAATGACGGTTTAACGAATTTCGGGACCAAAATATTTTAGACGTCTTATTTTAAAAGTTAAAAACATATCTCATAAAAAGTAAAACAAGCCAAGTTTGTAACAAATATTGCTTGACTGGATTTGCAACAAAGCATCCAATGGTAAAGAATTAAGAATGTCATTGAAAACTCTTATGGATACTGCATATAAAAAAAAAGTGTTTCAGTAAAAAATAACAGACTTTATTTGTTTTTAGCGTAAAGGGTGGAAAATAAACCATAAATTAAACTTTTTAAATAAAATTCTAAACAGATTTTATTAAATTTAATTTAATGATAATTTTATATAAAACATAAATCATTAACCCTTAAAAAATTTTCGAGTTTCATTTTATATCACATTTAGTATAATATTTGTACATTGTTATATAGAAGCTAATGTCATGGTGTGAATAATTTCTATGCAGTAAACTTAAAATATCCTATCGCACTCATAAATGACTGGGTACTCTTAACAGTTCTTCTTTAACCAACCTAAACGGGTTTGGTGGATGAAATGTGGAAAAAAAGATTTGTTATTATTATTTTTTTCTTTTCTCATATGAAGTGGAGATGATAACGAAAAGAATTAGGCACGTTCACAGGAGACAAAAGAAACAGAAACACAAAATCCAGTAGTGACAAACTTACACAATCCAAATTAAGAGATATTTTCCGTTGGGCGAGTTATGCATCATGAGAACGGCAACAGACGACTCATTCTCCGGCAATAGTTGAGGTTGGTAGATTCGAATGGCAGCAAGCTTTGGCGCAAACTTTAAAAGCGAGAACTTGAACGAATCTGAATCTAACGACCTTTTAGCCCCCCCACCAAACACACCGCCATTCTTGACCGCACTTATTCATCTTTTCAAGCCGGATCGTTCTCGCTAATATCCCTGTCTTTCCCTTTCTGAAAAGGAAGATTGAAAAGCATATACTTACTTTAGGAACGAAAATCAAAGAGGGAGAAGAAAGAAAAGACTGCTAGGTTCCTTAACTAAGTGTGAGAGATGAAATATCCTAATAAGACACTGTTTAGGAGTGTTTAGGAACGGGGAGTAGAGACGAAAGACCGTAAGTATGAGAGCATGTGGTGTTTAGGTAACAATTAGCTAAGATTATAAATATATGATACTTTTATATCACTTAATAACTTTTTGAAATTAATTATTAAAATTATATAAATTAAATATTTTAGTGATTAAAAGATTTAAAACTCTTCATTAATCTTTATTTTTTTTTCAATTTATTAAAAATTAAAGAAAATTGAGGAATATAGGTGTCGAAATTCTGTCAATGAGTGGCTCAGAAATTTCAATGTATATATGTAAGTTTTATTCGTGCAACAGACGGGTGTAGCTCAGACTCGCGGCTTCAATTGGATGTGTCAGAGTTATATAAATGTAATTATGACTTTCTTTTTGTTAACATTAATTATGCTGATGAGGAGAAACTTTTTTGTGGCCATTTACGTGACAAATATGATTTGTTATGTTGCTTCTTGCATTAACAACTCGAGCATGATGAGATGTGAAATTGAAATGTACCTGAATGAATGGCTAGCTAGTCCTTTTTTACCCACAGGGGAATTCTATGATTTTGAAGAGCATTCGAAATCTTATAAAATGGTTGTTTATGAGATGAGTTTCTGAATGAAGGTTTGGTTCTTGTTTCCCTAGGGATGGCAAAAGGAGGAAACAAGATTGTGAGTCATATTAGATCAAGCCAAAATTTTTGTGCCCTTTTAAAGTCATATATTAAAATGTGAAATTTTAACGAATTATTTCTTCATTCCAGGTTTATGCCTTTCATGGGATACGCCTCTCTACAAGAAATGGTGAGAATTATATTGTAATGTGTTTTTAATTTTCTGCATATTAATCCCTTAACAACACTGAGCACTAGTGTCATTTTTCAGTCTTGAATTTCTGTGCAAGGTTGGAAGTAATACCAATAACCAAGGAGTGAAAATTAGTTACACGCCATGGTTTTTGCATCCACTTGACATTATTTTTGTCTATTTTAAATCCAAGTTCGGAGTCACTTTAAAAATCTTGGTGACACTTCTAGCTTAGACCTTTTCCACATTTTGTTTCTCAGGTGGCCTCAGTTTACTATTCCCAGTTTTAAAGTTATAGTAGCTGACAGTTTGCACAAGGTCCAGATTGGTGAACAAATATCACTAGTTAGGTTTGTCTTGCTAGCATCAGTTTAAAGATTTTATTTCTTAGAGTCACTCAACATGATCATGCTAAGCCTTTACTTTTGAATGCTTATATTGATCATTTTGGAAGAAAGGATGAAGATTCCATTGCCGCTGTCTACAAGGGAGGCTATAGTGCATTATTATCTGTTTGAGTACTTTCAAGATGATTTAGTAGTTGTTCTTTTGAATACGGTAGTCCCCTGAATCCTTCTTTCTTTCTTTCTTTTCAAAGAAAGTTTATTCTAAACTACATCTAAGCTTCAAGAACTGTGTATTTAATTTACTTTCAGGTCTCTGAGTCAAACACCATTGATGGTTTCAACAAGGATGCAATTCCTGAAGCGAAGGATGCCGAGAGAATTGATGTGGTAGGAGGCTATGTTATGCAAAAGGTGACATCCAAAAGAAGTTACTTTCGGTGATTTTTAAATGAGTACTCAAAAATTAGAATTATCTTGAATGGAGTGATGAGATGAAAGGTGAAAGTCGTCACCAGTAATACACCATAAAAAACCATATAGGATCTGCTTGATCTTAAAGAAGATGCAAAAAGTATTGGAAAAAGTTTTCTGTATGTAACGGCTAACTATATTCAATAATGATATATGGTTTTGTTTGTCTGTCAAACTCGTGCAGCAAGTAATTTTTCCAATAGATTTAGAAAATCAATTATGTTAGCTTTAGATAATGATTCTGTACTAGAGCAAAACTACGGTGAGTTTATATTGTTTTTGTGGCAGCTAGTGAGGGCTGTCCTTTCTTAAACTATAAAATTAAAAAAATGCAATTTTATTGACAATCAATACTTCAAACTTGGCTTTGCTGATGTTTCAATGAATGGTTATTTATACCTGATTTAATTGATCCATCGGTAGCGTACCTCATTTTTCATTTCATATTGGATACTGAAAGAAATATGTAATTGAACTGTAATTTATAGACTATTTGTATGGCTTAGCTTCCAACATGTGGTGAAAAGTGAAAAAAGGATTTTGGTTTCCCTTATTTTATGATGTATATTTTTGTCGATTTTTGTAGGATAATAGCAAATTTGGATTTAAAGCTGGATTTTGTACCTTCATCCCCCATAAATTTCATTTCAAGGCAGCTCATCGGCAGTGGTTTCAGACTTTATCAGAAGGTTGTAGACTCATTTCAAATGCATTTGTTATTAGGCATCAACCAATATTTACTCTGTTTTTAGTTTCTGGCATCTAACTAATTAGATCAATAAATTATTTTAAAGATAAACGAACAAGTAAATGTAAGGCATCATTAGGATTACAGAGAAAGAATTACATTCATACTTATTAATAAGGATTCTTTAGTTGTACATGTATTTAACTCATGGATCTTGCTAATGATTGTCTTAAGGACTCTTTGTAAAGGGTATTGTTCAACACACCCTGTTAAATACTTCTAATTACTTAAAAATGCTAGTATTCAATATTTTTTAAGATTTTAATATAACAAATACTTTCCTTTTTATTAAGTACTCTATTTTTATTTCTTTAACTTGTGTCCCGAAGGGCACTCGTTAACATTCTCCTTAACTTGTATAAGAGGACTTGCCATGGATTATGAAGTTAATAGTCTTTTTTATTTGCAATGGTTAAAGATTGATGTCAGCTTATTTACCATTTTCTGCTTGCTCTTTTTCATAAAACATTTTGTATTGTTTTCTCTCATCTTTTGACATTAACCAATCCCTGATATTGTTATAGGCTGTGGCTTCTATAATGGGCTATGATAAAGATAAAGAATTCAGCAAGGCCTTAGAGGATTCTTTGTATGTTAGAATACGCGAAGCGCTATATAACATTAGCGGATCAAAGGCTATGAATGGGAAAGAGCTTAAGCAAGATGCTAGCATTGTTCCTACTGAAGAACCTATTCAACAAAGTGAGCAAGATGAGGCAAAAGATGTATCCTGTGAGGATAGCAGCAACCAATGTGCAAATAATTACAATGGTGAGATTTTAGAGGCTGGTAGTGAAGTGGTTGTAGAAGCAGATTGTACAAGTTGAGGAGGATGTCAACAAGGCACTTGGCATTCCAACCGAGGAAGGAGATTCAAGGAGAGTACTGAAGGGCAAGAGGAATGGTGAAATCGAAGAGGCAGAGAATGAAGAGATTGTAGAAACAGATAGTGAAGAAATTGTTCAGATCGAGAAGCGTGTCAACAAATTGCATGACATTCCAATTGAGGAAAATGATAGAAGGAATGTACTTAATAGCATGATGAATGTATATATACGTTCTGACGTGAAAAAGGCCCTAGCAACCTTAGAGAGGGTTATTTCAATGGTTCGTGAATATAGATTTCATTCCCTCATGTCCACTCCAAACTTTGTTAATGAAGAGTCCCACTGCATTGAAAAAAGTGGTATAGTTGATTCAAGTTCTGCAAAACTTGTTCAAGTATGTTTGAAAAATGAAGTTAGTGTTGAAGTATCAAGCACTGTACTAGAAGAAACTTTAGAAAAAGTTGGAACTATCCAAAACTTCAGGTGACTATGTTACTCATTCTTTGGTAACCAAAGGAACAAAGTTCTCTTTTCCTTGGTATTTTATATTCTTAATATCGCTAAAAATTTGATTTTTGATCGAATCTACTAGTGTTTAATGTTTTATGTAGTCGACCATCTAGTGAAATAAGATTACATTGATTTTGTAGCCTTTGATGTGGTTTGTTTGAAAATATAAGTCAATTAGTATAGAATGTAGTTGATTGTGTGAATATGTATTTACTGATGTTTTTATTCTTTTTAGTTCCTTCAAGCACACGAGTAAATCCTAACCTAAAGGAAGTAAACTATAACAAAGTAGTGTTAAATTATTTTAATAATTTTATTATAGTGGCATACGTAACTTATAACATAACTCTAATTAATAATTTAATGTGATGATAGTTAAATATAAAATATAGAGTCATTAAAAGTATAATTGTAAATTTAATTATAAGAAAACCCTCTCCTCTCCTTTCAGCTAAATAAAAGAATAGTTACTAAATAAAAGTTACTATATTTTTTATTGAGACTATCACTTTCACGGATGTTACGAACCAAACTCAAAGAAAAGTAAAGATAGGTAATAATGTAGAAAAGAGAAGTTGTATTTTATTGAAGATAAAAAAAAGAAGAACATCCCAGTACCGAGGATGAGTAATCCTCTCTACTCCAGAGCCAAGCTCCTAATACACTTAACAAAGAAAAACCTAAGGATCTCTCCTCCTGCTTCCTAAGCTTATTTAAAAGTAAATTCGAATAACAAAATGCATAAAAATAGCTAAACAAAGTAACAACTCTCTTTATTTTCTCTAACAAATTGTAATCCTAATCTTTGCGAGCTTTGCGCCTCGCATAGACTTTTCCCTAATGTGATTTGTTGCTGCCTTGTTGGATTTGAGTTTCGTCAGGCCCATTAAATCCTTGGGCCCTATCAATACCTCCCGGTTGAAAAAAATGTCTTGTCCTCAAGACTAAGTTCTGGAAACTGTTCCCTGATTGTGATTTCATCTTCCTAGGTTGCTTCCTCAGGTGTCTTTCCTTTCCAGTGGATCAGCCATTGATTCACCCTCTCTCCATGTTGTAGTAAACCACAAGTGGAAAGGACTGCGTCCGGTTCTAACAGTTCCTCTATTGCTGCTGCTTCTTCAAGACCACTTGGTAATTTAGATTCTACAGTGTAATTCCCAATTGCCTTCTTTAAAAGGGAAACATGAAATATTGGGTGTATTTTGGAAGAAGCAGGAAATTTGAGCTTGTATGCCACTTCTCCAATCCGCTCCAACACCTCAAATGGTTCATAAAACCTAGCACATAACTTAGGATTCACTCGGGCAGTGACAGAATGCTGTCGGTTTTGTCTAAGCTTTAAGAACACCATATCTCCAACCTTAAAGCTCCTTTCTATTCGATGCCTATCTGCCTGGGACTTCATTCTGTCTTAAGCTCTCGTTAACTGATTTTTTAGCTGTTTCAGAGCTTCATCTTTGTCCCTCAACTCCCTTTGCACCACATCAGCCCTTATTTCTCCTGGAACGCTGTGTATCAATGAAGGTGGTTTGCACCCATACACTACCTCGAACGGTGTCTTTCCTGTGGATTCATGGTAGGTAGTATTGAACCAATATTTTGCCCAAGGTAACCACAATACCCAAGTTTTTGGTTGATCTGCAATGAAGCACCATAGGTATGTTTCTAGACACCTATTTGTCACCTCCGTCTGACCGTTGGTTTGAGGATGATATGCCGTACTCATTTTAAGCTTTGTGCCGTGCATTTTGAAGAATTCCTTCCAAAATGTACTCATGAACAAGGGATCTCGGTCACTCACCACTGACTTTGTACTGCCATGGAGCCTTACTATTTCCTTGACAAACACTTCAGCCACCCCCTTAGCGGTATAAGGATGTTTGAGAGCTATGAAATGACTGTATTTGGATAAACGATCAACAACTACCATGATTGTTTCATATCCTTTTGACTTAGGTAACTTTGTGATGAAGTCCAAGCTGATATCTTCCCAAATATCCTCTGGTATGGGTAAAGGTTGTAATAGACCTGCGGGAGAGGTAGCTAGGTACTTCTGACGTTATAAATATCACAGGAACGCACAAATTCTTGAATATCCTTCTTCATTCCTTCCCAATACAAATTTGCTGCTATTCTCCGGTAAGTTTTATAAAAACCAGAATGTCCTACTTGTGGAGTAACATGAAATTCTTCTAGTAATTTTGGGATCCAAACCGAATTCCTTGCCACGACCAATCTTCCTTTAAATCTCAAGACCCCCTGTTGATAAATGAAACCTGGGTTTGTGTGTTCTGTTGTTGCTGTAAATCTGAAATTATTTTCCCAAGCTTCTTATCTGCATGAACTTCCGCCACTACTTCTTGACCATCTAACCAAATTGGAGAATAAATCAGTGCTTTCAGTTCTGTCTCTTCTTGGCTTCTGGAAAGGGCATCAGTTCCCCTATTCTCCTTTCCCGATTTATAAACAATGTCAAAGTCATACCCCAATAATTTGGCTACCCAGTTTTGTTGGCTGCCAGTAGTGATCCGTTGATGGAGTAGTTGTTTCAAGCTTTTCTGATCTGAAAATACCGTGAAATGGCGCCCCAATAGATATGGCCTCCAATGTTGTATGGCTAAGACCACCGCCATTATTTCTTTTTCATATGCTGATTTGGCTAAATTTCGTGGCCCCAAAGCCTTGCTGCAGTAAGCCACCGGTTTGCGATCCTGCATCAATATAGCTCCAATTCCTACTCCTGATGCATCACATTCCACTTCAAATTGTTTTTCAAAATTTAGGAGTTGTAAAACAGGAGCAGAAGTAATCTTCCTTTTTAATTCTTCAAATGCTTTCTGAGCCTCTGTACCCCACTTGAATCCATCCTTCTTTGTCAATTCGGTCAATGGTCTAGCAATCTTGCCGTAATCTTTAATAAATTTTTTATAGTAACCCGTGAGTCCGAGAAATCCCCTTACTCCTTTAACCAATTTGGGAGCTGGCCAACACAAAATACTGTTAACTTTCTCTAGATCCACTGTAACACCTTTTACTAAAATTACGTGTCCAAGATACTCCACTTGCCCTCGGCCAAAATTGCATTTCTCTTTGTTTGCAAACAGACTTTGTTGTCTCAATACCTCCAACACTAAGCACAATAACTTCAAGTGTTCTTCCCAGCTTCTAGTATATACCAGTATGTCATCGAAGAAAACCAAAACCCCTCTTCGTAGAAATTTTTTGAAAATATCATTCATGAGGGCTTGAAATGTAGAAGGGGCATTCATGAGCCCAAATGGCATTACTAAGTACTCGTAGTGCCCTTCATGCGTCCTAAACGTTGTCTTGTGGATGTCTCCTTCATGCATTCTTACTTGATGGTAGCCAGACCTTAGATCTAGCATAGAAAAATATATTGACCCGTGTAATTCATCTAATAATTCTTCAATGACGGGTATAGGAAATTTGTCAGGAACAGCTGCCTTATTGAGAGCTCTATAATCCACACACATCCTCCATTGACCATTCTTCTTTTTTACTAAAATTACAGGGCTTGAAAATGCACTTTGGCTTTGCTGGATGTGACCATTACTGATTAATTCTTGAACTTGCTTCTCTATCTCATTTTTTTGAAAATATGGATACCTGTATGGCCTGACATTGATAGGACCCTGCCCTGTTTTGA